ATATACAGTTGATGATGATGAAACCACACTCACATCCAACATGAGGTACAGGCCTCTTTATTATATATTGCTTTGTCCACATCACACACAGTCACACAATCCAATGTTATACGGTAAGTATTGTACTTTCTGCAATCTGATATTCAGGAAAGGTGTACGTGTAACAGCCAAAATGCTCTTAACCCAGAACAATATCTAACTCACATTGAGTCACAATATAGAGTACAGTTTTTCCATGCAAAGAATTAGATATCATCCCATTTCCTATGATAACACCAACTTCAGCAGCATAGAGTAGTGCCTCTCTCATTCATAATGTACATGTTGTACATGTATCTTGTATTTGTATCTTGTATGATGATTAGCTATTGATATGCCTCAAAATGATGTACAACATATTACTTTGTCATACATTCAAATTTGAGTTTGGTATATATACATCTACAACAGTACTATTACCTTGAATCATGACAAGTTTTGAATGTAATATCAAAATATACATGTTGCTTATGCATCAACACAATGTACCATTGTCAACAATCTGTCCAAAATACAACAATATACTGTATACACATCAGATTAAATACTTGATAAAATGAAACTGTGCATACTATCCATGCAGCAAGGTTGGTGTCAGTTAAAAGTTCCTAGCATCTTTAGCACATTGTATTGTAAATCAAGTCATGCCTTAAAATCTGTTCCTACTTACTATCTTCAGCAAGTCTTAGAAATCATAATGACTCAAAATCCCTGTGTCCATAAATTGCAAAAGAAATCAAGATTATATCAAATTTAATGTATGTTTTTCTCTTTATTTCTCTACTCTGTAAGCATGTTGGTAAATATTATATGTACACTATTGCCTAAAACTTTATCTTAAAATGTGACTTAGCTTCTCCCTCAGTATTTTAAAACTTCATACAGATTCCAAAAGAATTCAATCACTAGTTTCCTTAGGCCAAAGCCTAATTATCATCAGCAGGTATTTTTAAAATAGGGGAAAAGTGATATAATTACTAAGAACAAGTTTTCATAACTTAACAAGATTAATCATGATAGTGCAGTCACTACCATTTAAGTGTCATTCATTCTTAACTCCATACCTCATTTTCTCACTTTTTTCCAGGGCTTAAGATTAATATATCATTCACTTCTTGCTAAGAAACTTATTATATATAATAATAAAACCCGTTTTACATTCTTTCAGAATAGAATATTTCTATTTGCTTGCTGGTGGTTTGCCCTGTTTATTGCATGCTAATATTCATAATTCATCTCTTTGTGCGCAAGTGTTTCAAGTCTAACAAATTTCCTTGTTCCTACTTATGTAGTCATATTGCACTGTTCAGTACAACAACACTATGTCATCAATCAAGTACACTTTTGTCCAATGAGATTTCCAACAAACTTATGTTTACTCTCCAAAGCTTTGGCACAGTCTCATAATTTCTCTTGTCATTCACCACTAACCACTTGCACATTGAGGCACAACTTTGAGTTGATTCTCGTAACAAATCTTGGCACATTTTCTAAAATCATTTTAAACCTCCAATCACAAAAGAGCCTGCCCTTAATTTATGTATATACTAGTGTTATCATATAGAATATTGACTATTTTACATTTGAATATTTACAGATATGCTACGTTGTGCAATCTTCTGAACTGATGAAATATCTAGAGAAAATAACTTCTGTTAAAAATAATATCTCTGAAAAGGATCCAGTCCTTTCAAACTACATCTTTTCTTCCACTCATCTTGACAGATTTGAAAATATCCTGACATGATACCTTTTGTCCAAGATGTTCTGATAAATCGAGGGAAAATATGCCATAATGGCTTTAGAAATAAATCAATGATTCAGGTCAAAATGTTCTCATAAATTGAGCAAAATTTGCCATTACGGTATCTTTAGAAATAAATCATTGATTTAGGTCAACACGTTCTCATAAATTGATAAAATAATATGCCATATTGGCTATAGAAATAAATCAATGATTTAGGTTAAAATACTTAAGTGGAATCATTGCTAAATCTCTGCTTAGAAAGACATTAGCTAAGCCGTTCACATTCTTTGTGCATACATTTCAAATACCTTACATTTCTCTACATCTGCACACATTGTTCAGACAGCAGTGTTCAAATTCACTACAATAAATGCCTAGCTATACTGTCATGTCCGATATATTATAAAAGATTTATATCTAGCTCTAGCCAGCCTCCGTTTTTCCGTCAATTGCAGGACCTTTGTGGTGTGTGATGTGTTTTAAAACCAATTCGTCAACATTGATGGACAAAAATCTTGGGTAGTATTAAATATTAAAAAAAACATCCAAAGGACAACCACAAATCACTCTCAACCCCATGATTTGCCTCTCAAAATGTAGGAAATTGCATTTAATAAAAATTGTCCCCGGAACCCCCTATAGCTAGATTGTGAGCATTCTTCCCTTAGGTCTGAGCATGAACCTGGCCGCTGATGGAAAAAAATTCGAGCCGGCTAGAGCCCTGCTGTGCATGCCTTTTCTTTCTCCTAGCACTCTCCTGCCGAGTCCTGGTGTGTCAAAGTTCTGGTTAGGGATAAGTAAGGGTCTGCTAGCCTTTTATCACAATCCTGCAGCAATCTTAATGCAGTTTGTGGGGAAGCGTAATCATCTGTGACCTCTGTCACAGCTGAGCTGCCCTTTCCCAGTCAGTTATCATGCCTGCTGATTAGTAGTGGTGAAAGGTGAGAAAGTTGGTCTGACTCCAGGACAGGCTAAAATTCCAAGTGTCTGTCAGGAATTGTGTATTCAGATCAAATTTCAAGGCTTGAAGTTCAAGGTGAAATCTACAAAACAAAGTGTTCTCTGCTGCTGCGTAGTTCAAAACAGCATTTAATTTCTTTTTTACGACATTCTTTTCTTTCATTTTGAGGCAGACGCCATCAACTAGCTGAAGATTCTGCTGCCTTTTTTGTGGCTAATACGAGATGGGGTTTGCCAGGCCTCCATCCAGTTGTGTAAAGTACTAGTGCCTATCCCAAGGGCACAAGATTGGTGACACGGCAGGGTTCGAACCCGGGAACTCTTGGTTCCGAGCCAAACACTCTCATGCCACACGACCCCACAACATTGAGATCTTATCAACAAAATGTGTTTGCCCCGTACATACAGAAGAGGTCATGACAAAGCCATTTTCCCACACCAACTGATGGCACTGGGCATCAGATTGTGCAAATTGCTCATCAAAAAGTAGTTTGCCCAAATGTCCCTAACAGTTAAAGCACCATCATTGATGCATCTAATAGCTCTATGTTGTCAGCAAAGCTGCTGGCGATACAACTAAAACGCTTCTGCTTTCATCAGTTTTTTTTTCTCTTCCTTTACTTGAAAAGTGAAGCTGCGTTTTTGGAAACTTTATTTTATGACGTTTATGACGTTTTGCTATAGCTAAATATGTACATATGTCCGAAACACATATATCAAACACTGATTTTTATGAGCACTTAGCTGGTGATACGATTGATAAATCTTATTTGATATATCGGCAAACAGATTGCGGAAAAGTGGTACGTAGCTGATTTGGCGTTCCTTACTAATGGAAGCATGCTTTTCTTTGAACATTTTAGCTAATGCTTTGAGAATCCTACTGTCTTCGTGACATGATTTTCTAGTTACTAGTGACACTCCTATATATGTATAGACAGACTGTGTTTCTTTCCAACATGGCAATGTCTTATACCATAAACCACAAGGGATCAGTGCTAGTTGTGCATACGAAAAAGAGTGGAAACTTAAAGCACGTTTGTCTGGATGGCCCACATTAGTGGTCCTCCTAATATCTTGTCCTACACAACTTGTCATTTTCTAATAGAGGTGTCAAAGCGATATGATTTATCATTGTACAGGGGGATTAAAATTAATCTCTTTACATAATTACTGGGGACCTGGGTCACTATAGATTGCATGTCAATGGCTATGACAGCTACCAAGTAGATTTGCTGGGTTTGTCAAAGATTCATCGGTATATGGAAAATTTCTTCCAAAATGTAGACAAGTACGTCATCTTTTTACCATTCATATTGTTAGCAAGGAGAATCCACATTTTTCTTTTAATGATGCCAAAAGACATCGAATCCGGAAAAACTGTCAAATTGAACGGTACATTTAAGATATTGATGCTGTGTATGAAATTTATGAATTCCATACGGAGTTGGAAGTCGATAAGTACATACTAGTTAATTATGCCAGCTTGCAAAATTACACCAAGAAATTGATCATATTTCTGATTCAATTCTGTCAGAACTGATTAGTATCCTCTTGCAATGATGAATTTTAATTTGTAGGTTTCTACTAATCAATGAACTGACACTACATGTAGCACTGTGAATCATGATTGATAATATACATTTGTACTGCCAGAATACTGCAGTGTAAAATATGGAAATTTTGAGTTACTACCTATGATGACCCCAGCAATGCACAGTGACTTTTATCTTTCCGAAAAATAATACATTCTGGGCAGCTTTAACAAGTTCTTTTCTCAGAATTTCTGCTCTTGTTAAAAATGACAATCATATTATCCCACATCGCCACATATTGTATGTATGAGAAGAGGAAATTGTGGCGCCAAATTCTGATGATTGAATTTGATCAAACAGACAAACCTTGGACTCATAAAATTACACTAAGTGATAAAAAGCCATCCTAAGAGTGACACAATTTTCATTTATGACTCTGGAAAGGTAAGATTAGGATAAAGTACCAGCTTCATCACACATCAAGCTTTTTAAATGATTGCTTGGAATTCTTTTCAACTGATCTTCCCTGCAACTTTGTTACAGTTTGGACTAAAACCAGCAATTTAAAGACTTCATATCAAGTCCTCACCAACCACACATATCGTGTACTAATGGCAAAGCCAGTACAGCTCTTAGGCTACTTACAAAATATCTCTTTACACAATAATTACCTTTTCATTTGTCATAGCATTACATGTACCTCTCTCTAGAGTTCTTTACTTTTTTTGTCTCTCACGGCAGCAACAATCTCTTTATGGCTTACCTATTCAAGTCCCAACATTCAACTGGTTACATCTTCTGACTTTCCTTCTCCTCTTATATGCTGGTCTCCCAAACTTTTCAAGCTCTCCTTTTCATCATCAGTGGGTTGAGCACTAGGTTCTATATTTGCCAATGTTTCTGGCACATTCTTAGTGATCTCTGTGGCAAGTCCTTGATTGTTTGCCTTGTGCAGGGGGTTTGCCTGTAGTCTGTCTGCTCCAGTTTCACTTGTATTTCTTGTGCCAGCCATCTCTTTAGGAGCTAACATGTCAACTGTCCTGTCTTGAAACTTGTCATTCTTAGTGGTCTCTGTGCTGAGTCCTTGATTCTTTGCCTTGTGAAAGGGCTTTACCTGTAGTCTGTCTGCTCCGATTTCGCTTGAATTTCTTGTGCCAGCCATCTCTTTAGGAGCTAACATGTCACTTGTCCTGTCTTGAAACTTGAAACCGTTTGAAGACGCACTACTGCTCTTTTTCATGACGCGGCCGGCGCCTTTTACGACTTTTACTACAGTCACGACTTCGTTGCCCACAAAGCATCGACCCTTTGCTTTGAAGTACGCTGCGCAGGTGAGCATGACACCCGTGTTACAGGACTCTGTGGCCGTGGGGTTGGATCGAGAGATGGAGGTGTTACAGGTGCAGTAGGGCTGGTTCTGGAGCTCGCATCTCTTACAGCTCAACTCCTTCCCGCAGCATTTCTTGCAGGGAAACTTGTCGCCGCAGCACGCAAGCAGCAGCTGTCTCAGACCCATGCGGAACTCGGCGCTGAAGACACAGTACGTCACGACGTTCAGGAAGCTGTGGCACATTGCGATCCACACCAGCGCGAAGCCCAGACCGTGGGGGCCGTCCGTTCTGTCCACGAAGGTGAACACCTTGTAGGTCATCAGCGGCGTCCAACAGGAATAGAAGGTCACGACTACGGTGATGAGAATTTTGGACACGGTCGGGTGGGTCGCCGAGGATCGCCTGCGTCCTCTTCTCGATTCGCCGGTCCCGGACGCGGGATTGTCGCGATCCTGTTTCCGGATCGCTCGCACGTGTCTGGTGGCAATCTTATAGAGCTTGACATTGGAAACGGCAATGATGATGGAACACAGGCCAAATATGACCACAATCATGAAAACCGTCCAAGCGTAGTGGTGGTAGAAGTCTAGAGAACAGGTCAAGGAGTCAGGAAAGTACTTCATCTTCAGTTTGGTGAGAAACAGCGGGATGAAGCAAACAGCAGGGAAAAACCATGCCATGCACACGATCACCATACACTTTTTAGTCGAGGAATGTTTTCTGTAAACCAGGGGCAGTGAGACTGTCAGGAATCTGTCCAGACTTGTGCCTGCCATGTTACACATGGACACAGAGGAGAAGTAGATCCCTAAATAACAGTTAGCCACGCACCACACTTTGATGATGGCCTGTTTACCGAGTGACATGTGTAGGGCAAACGGAGCGTAAACCATCCCTACCATGAGGTCCGATAGCGCCAGGGAGATCATCCCCACTCGGCTCACAAGAGGCAACGACCTCACCTTCCTCACCACCACCATCACCACTAAGTTTCCCACGGTTATCAGGACCAGTACCACAGAAACAATCACAGTCTTCCATACCCCCAGCCGTGGGGTGTAGCTTGTCCACCAGTCCTCTCCTTCCCCGGCCTCTACTGTCCCATTGCTGGTGTTGTTCTCCATCTCTCCTACCTTACTCCTGCACACTGATTACCACCCTAACAGTCCATTGATCGTAGTGCCTCTACTCCCGGTGCCTGTCGAATCATGGCAAGGCTCCAAATGTGCGTCGCTACTTGTACCCATCAGATATAAGCCTGATTTATTACCATAGGCCTACCCACCTCATCTTTAACCCTCTCACCGGCATCGAACCTGCATGAATAATTTTGGCGCCCCAGCCAATCAGCAAACACGGCATTATTAAGTTGTCTGGCAGGTAACAGATTGACTCCAGGGCAGGCAGGATGAGGTCAACGGCCCTACGTAAGCAAGCAGTGACCTGGCAACCACGCAGGGGCACATTAACGTCATTTATTGTTTTACGACACAAAGCTTAGAAAAATTGACCCAGAAATGTTCTTACCATCCAGTGTTTGAAATACACATCTGCATTCTGCATTTTGCAGAGATATTTTCAAGATTGCAGAAGAAAAATCATACAATCTGCAATTTTTCATTATAACTTAAATATAAGGTTGAGAAAGTTGTAGTATTTTCAGAAACTGTTTACAAGTTGCAGAACAAAACTTTTACTCATCTGCAATATATATTGCAGAACAGTGAAAACAAGTAATAATTCTACCCGTGACTGCCATCCAAGATAAAAGCTAATTTTGGACTTTATAAAAAATTTTGAAAAATATCAAATATTAGAACTTGTCTGCAGTGTTATACAGCACTACTTTCTTGAAACCTTCAGCCTCCTAAGGTATCTGTTTGGCACAAAATTTGTGTTGGTTATGGGGACAGCCCCAGAATAACATGTGCTGATTATAGTTATATGGCAGGAGTGCGAGAGAGTGAAGTTGACATGATTGCATTTATATGATTGCATTTTCTTCACAATGGTTACCCAGCATGGCTGTAATGGTCTTGTTTTCAACACATACGGAATGAAATTATGGTGATTTTCTCCTTGTACATTATGCATGTCTGTGTGTATGCATACCTTCATCATCAATGTACAATGTGTAGGTATACTTTTCACACTTTCATGTATTCATACTATGGCAGGGAACACCTTTTCTGTGTTGCTGTCAACACTTTCTGGTGACAATTATACCTGACTGCAAGTCCTGATGGACAACACAACGAATTGGCTACAAAAAAAGAAGAATGACGACACTGACCCAAAAAAGCTGTCAGCATGTTCGCCTTCATAAAAATGTAACAAACACTAGATGTTGGGATATCCTTTTTCACACCCAGTAACGTCTCTTATGTACACCTTGCTTTAACGTTTTGGAATCTTCCTCAGAGCTTCGATTTCTGAAATTCTGCTTCTCGCCACTATATATAGCCGATGTGGGTGGCACTTTTGAGAGAACACAATGTGGTGAGAACACAATCCCAAACAAGGCTGACAGAGTCAGCCAAAAATTTGGGTAAGTCCCAATTTACTAAGGGTTGGAAAGAATGTTTAACCCTTTTTGTCACAATCCCAAACATTGGCTACATATGGCAGCAAGCAAACTTTAAGAACTCCAGTCAGAGGCTCTAAAGGAAGGTGTCTAATAGACAATGAAACGTAAGCAAGGTAAGAGATATTACCGGTTGTGAAAACGGAAATCCCAATATCCTATGTTCTGCAAACCAATCTGATGAAACTATTTTCGGATGTAACAAACACTATAATGTTATGTATAGCAGCTGCTACTGTTTGTGCAGCTGGTGAACTATAACTGTTGATCAGGGGCAAAGCTTCTGAGTTCATGAATACATAAACTTACGATCTGTCAGGATTTGGCTGACACTAGAGCATTGTTGGCAGACTCATGAATGTCAGTAGTAACCAGAGGTCGAAAAATTTCCACACAACCATGCTGCATACACTATAGAGTTGACCAGCAGCTATTTACGTTCTCTGCACATCGTATTCTCCTCTCACTCCCCGGAACCAGGAACGCAAACGATAAACTCATGAATGTCAGTATCCAGAGGTTGAAAAAACTCACCACAACCATGCTGTAAACACTATAGACTTGATCTACAGCTATTTACATTCTCGGCACATCGTACATTTTCTCCTCTCTCTCTCCCCGAACCAGAAAAACAAACAATAAACTCATGAATGTCAGTGGTGACTAGAGGTCGAAAAATCTCAACACAACCATGCTGCAAACACTATAGAGACTTGATCTACAGCTATTTACATTCTCGGCACATCGTACATTTTCTCCTCTCTCTCTCCCCGAACCAGAAAAACAAACAATAAACTCATGAATGTCAGTGGTGACCAGAGGTCGAAAAATCTCAACACAACCATGCTGCAAACACTATAGAGACTTGATCTACAGCTATTTACATTCCCTACACATCGTATTCACCTCGCCTTCCCGAAACCAGGAAAACAAGCGATAAATCCTGTGCAGATGGGGGAACTGTAAAGCATGTTCTGGACAGAGTAACGGCCGCTAACCCGATTATCAGTCCACTAAAGATAGATTTGTTGCTGCATGTCGGGATTCCAAAAGGTGTTGTTGTTATCACACTCACTGTGTAATGTAATGACTTGCCTCACAAAATCTGAAGCCAAGGATACTTGTATGTCAGATTATTCTCCTGGCAAGACTGTACAGAGAGGATTATGATTACAAGCCAGGAAAAATTCAAGGATGAACTTAAGATTTCAAGAAAGTCTTGCATTTAGATACTCAGAGTCAGCTAGATACAAAGGTAACTTGTGACACTGATGTACCAGGTATGAGACTGAGAGATGACACTTGATACTAATCTCAGATGAACTTACGATTTCAAGAAAGTCTTGCATTTAGAGACTCAAGAGTCAGTAGGTACAAACTTAAGGTAGCTTGTGACATAGATACCAGGTATGTGACTGAGAGATGACCCTTGATACTAATCTCAGATGAACTTAAGATCTCAAGAAAGTCTTGCATTTAGAGACTCAAGAGTCAGCTAGGTACAAAGGTAGCTTGTGACATACATGTAGATACCAGGTATTGGAGATGACCCTTGATACTAATCTCAGATGAACTTACGATTTCAAGAAAGTCTTGCATTTAGACTTAGAGATTCAAGAGTCAGCTAGGTACAAAGGTAGCTTGTGACATAGATACCAGGTATGGGAGATGACCCTTGATACTAATCTCAGATGAACTTAAGATTTCAAGAAAGTCTTGCATTTAGAGACTCAAGAGTCAGCTAGATACAAAGTTAGCTTGTGACATAGATACCAGGTATGGGAGATGACCCTTGATACTAATCTCAGACTTCTTCTTTTCTCTAATTATCATATGTTTTTATAGTCATCATGCACTGTTGTAAAGTAGACAGTAAACAGTAGACAGACAGTGTTGGTAGCAAGACACAGTCCAGAAGTCTTCATCAGAAGATTTAGCAGCCACATGCTTGCCTGGAAAATCTCCTGGCCAGATAGAACTTATGGTTATCTCTATCTGTGACCCAGTTGTTAGTACCTTAACACATTTGTTAACCTGTGACCACCACAACAACATCCAGTGTTTGCACTGAGCAGGACAGCAAGCTTAGTCAAAGCTTCTGGAAATACTTCAGTAAAAAAATTCTACAACTTACTACAGGTTATGCTACATGGAAATCTTAAAGAGAAACCATATTCGATTGAAGCAAAATCTGGGCTCATAAAACAATAGAAATCTTTTATAATTTGTAGCCTTTTTAACAAGACCTACATGCTTGTAGAAGCTTAAAGCTGAAGGCCATTAGGTTACACAAATAGGACCAAACCAGTAAAAACAGCCTTCTTGCCAAGAAATGGCTTTACAATCTACCCTCTCCTTTACAGACCTCACATACCTGTATATACATGTACTTCTGTCCCAATCGTTTCTTTCTTTAGCCTAGTTTAGGCAGTTGCTACAAAGATAACCCCTGTGTGGTGCTATTATACTATCTTATGGGAGCATACTTCTCTTCATTCTTCCTAAGAGAAATCATCATTATAGGGATCTAATGCCACAACTACCTGTTTGGACTCATTAGAAGGAACATTTGATGGGAGAGATCTGAGATAGAGGACAGGTGATGTCTGTGGGAGAGAGTTTGAAGGACGAATGGCACACCAAGGAAGACTACAAAGTAATTATAACAAAGTGCACATTCCTAAAACTTGTAATTAGTAGGTATTGCTGATGGATGAGGAAGTTAGGATATCTGGCAACTTGGACATCAACCAACTCTTACAAGATCGATGGGGAAAGACAGACAATTTTTTTTTTTAACCGAATTTAACGTTAGACGTGCTTGCACCAAGTCTTTTTTTGAAGCAAGATTTTTACGGCTGGATGCTCTTCCTAACGCCAACCCAAACCCTAGTAGGGCCCAGGAACCCTCTAACTGAGGGGGGAAATGCGTGTTAAGTGCCTTTCCCAAGGGCACAACGTCTGGGTGCATGTCCGGACATGTCTGGGTCCAACCCTGGGGATTGAACCTGGGTCTTGCGGTTGACAGTCGGATGCTCTATCCACTACACCACACAGACGCCACAATAAACCAGATAACAATTAGAGCTTTACCAGATTACTTTGACCTAGTGTTGATGTCACACATCAGAGAAGCAATGGAACAAGTCTCACTGTGCTGGGTCAGTTTTTTTATATAGACCAGAGTGACTGATCAAAAGCTCTAGGTGAGAACATTTCTTTCTGAGAACTTTAGTCAGGGTTTCTTCCTTCAAAAATTCTGCCAACAGCAAATGTACCAAAACAGCCAGTGATAAATTTCGCCCAGTGCCAGTTTGAAGAAGATACTGAAAATCTTTCTTTCTGGAGTTGTTGATGGTGAATTCTTTATCGGGGATACAGTACTTGTATTCAATACGTTTGCTACAGTACTATTCATTAAGGTCAAGGGCCAAATTAGTGACTCAAAACCTGATACAGCTGTCATAAAAAATCAATCCAATCTCCCTTTAATACTGTTGTTCTTACCACCTGAGACTAGAATGATCCATGGTTTTAACAGGTTCAGGGCTTTAGCCAGCGACCGTTTTACCGTCAATTGACGGTAATTTGTCCCGTCTGACGGTAAAAATTTTAGTCCTTACCGTCAACATTGACGGTCAAAAATCGTGGGTAAAGACATGGAAAAAATCTAGCGAATTTGAATGAGCCACGGCGCGGCGTCTTTTCCAAACGCACGGCGGCGGGAAACCTGATTTCAAGGACCGTGCCGACGTCTGTTGACTTGGCTCTATTGTTCAATGTTGCTGTCTGTTAAAACAACATGTGCTAACGGCCACATAAGAATAAAATAAAACAATGGCTCGACTCAGACACACGCTGCTAACTGTACATGACAATACGATAAATAAACATGTGACAACGAACAAAGAAATATCAAACGTTTTTTAATAATATACTGTACTTGAATAATCATACTATCGCAAGAAAACGGAGATTGATCCACACAATGTGGCCTTATTTAATCTAAAACTTCGTCAGACCTCCTTCGCGCGAAGACTTGAGCGGCAGCATAAAGATTTCTGGAGGATCGCTGACACGCGAGTTTTTGCCGGCCACGTAACTCCCTCCGCGGCAAAATCCCCATTGTCGTAGCGAAATCACGTCTCAGCGCTTCCCTAAGTCAACTTCATGGCCGCTAAAGTCCGCAAAGGAGTTGTAACTTCCTCATTTCGGTTGAGAAGCGAAGCTGACAAGTAAACATGTCGGCCATTTTGTTTGCTACCCGAAGTCTTCCGAACGCTCTAAATAAGGAAATCGTCGGAGATCTGAGCCACATCGCCCGCTGTCGGTCAGCGCTCGGGGCCGGCTCGGTGGAAATCGGAGGCTGTGACGTCATGAGTAGGTTCATTTGCATGGCCGCGGCTTGAATCGCGGCGGGATTTGAGCGGATCAAAACGAAGGGAATAGCGGATTATTCATTGCGTGTTGTCTCCTTGTGAGAACTGT